CCCCCATGACTGGGATGATCCCCCCTGGATACGCCCTTCAGATCAGAGCCATACTGTTTTTTAGGAAAACTTCCTAAGACCGACTGTCTTGAAAGTTCATGTAGCGATAGAGCCAAATCAATTAGTTCTTTTTCCTCTATATGAAAATATTTCGTTCTTGTCCTTGGAGGAACCTGAAGGAAAGTACCCATATTTAGATTAGAAATTATTTGATGTGTTTTTTTTTAATTCGCAATTATTTATATCGCTATTAAAAGTGGTTGGGGGAATGATGGTTGGGCAAGACAAATTTTGGTTGGACAAACCTCGCCCTCCCCTAGCGCCGCCACTGGTTCTCTAGTTGCTATAACGGCATGACAATCTTGTCGGATGCATAAGTTTTATTTTGAAAAATTGACAAAGTTTCATTACCTAGCTGGATGAAATTTTTAAAAAAGTCGCAAATAAGCGCAAAAAGGAGAAAATAGTATTTTTCGATACAAAGGCAAAAACGGATTTTCGCCCTCGTATCGAACAATATTTTTTATTCGAATATAGGACATAACACGAATAATAAGTTATAATAAATCAAAATAGCCAAAAATAAAAGCCGTCAACTTCATATTTAAAATTTTATGTCAATGCCATTTTTCAAATTGTCATGTTTTGACGTTTGTCATTTTTCGAAAGCACACTTTGTAAGCATATACAAGTGAAAGAATGAGTGTTGAAAAGCCAAGCGCTGCTTTCACGGTATAGTGTTTGTATAAGACGCATATTTTGCATAAAATCTTTAAAAAAATCGTGTTTTGCTTGTGGCAACGTGGCTCATAAAAATAGACCATTTGAACGACTTTGAGACTGAACTTGTAACAAAGTTATAATTTACAAATTGTAAGTAAACTTTAAATTATGGATCAATAGTTAAATTATGGATCAATAAACCTACGTAATTCATTAAAAAAGCCTGTCGGTTACTTTTTAATAAAAATACTTTAAAATATTCTATGACAGTGACATGTTCAATTTGTCATATTTTGTACATGTGCGGAAAAGTCCGTGCGTAAAAGTAAAACAAATGAACAGTAAAGAAAAGTGCTTCTTTTTGACCATCGCTTCTGATCGAAAAATGGCACTTTTAGATTCATTCGAATAAAAACGCATTTAAAAAATCTGTCAAATGATGTGTTTTTGCACATTTCGTTCACATTAGTTAACAAAAGAATATTGTACTCTGTGTACATCTACAAAAATACACATATTGTTATTTATTATTTATAGTTCATTTAGGTTCTTTTGATAACGATAGCAGAAAATAGCTATCGAAACGTCAAGGTAATTTTTCAAATTAATTTCTTTACCAATTGGAATTTTCTCTTACAGCTTGAGCCTAAGT